ATAACAGTAGAGTCAGGATAAAAAGGGCCAGTATAAAGACCTTTGTTTTAATGATTGCATGTGCATGTGTGTGTGAATTCAGAGTTGTAGGTGTCACTGAGTGTATGTAGAAGTCAAAGGACAAGTTCTTAGGAATATGTTCTTCCATCATGTTTTTGATGGGTTTCCTCTTCCTTCTATATGGTGCATGTTCCAGGTCAGGTGGTATGAGAACTTCCAGGTGATTCTCCTGTTTTTACCTCTCATCAGCCATAGGAATCCTGGAATCCAAGTTATATCATTCGACCACTTACTAAGGTTTCAGAGATTGAACTTAGATTGTCTGGCTTGAAAAGCAAACACTTTTATGAACAAAGCCAGCTGGTGAGCCCTGATCTCTTCAGTACAAGTGAAAAGTTGTCTAGCCACACCTTGGTTTTCTCTACAGTGCAGGCTTTTCTAGCACTGAATCTCATCATTTTACTGTCTTCCCTCCTCATTCCTTCCAAGCTCAGCAGGATAATAGGATTTTAAAAATGGATGGAGCTAGAAACTGTTATACTAAGTGAAGTAACACAGACGCAGGAAAACAAACGACGTATGTTCTCCCTCCTATGTGGATCCTAGCACCAAATCCGTTTAAATTCTAGGTCCTTTTAATAAGATGATGCTATACAGCAGTCCCTTCTGCATGACATAACTACCATCTTCATGACTTCAGCTGAGCTTGATCACTAAACGTCACAATTGGGCTTGTTGACGGTTGTGCCACTCATTAAAGAGAGCCAAGCAGGGTCACTTGGCCCTCACCGGAGTATCCAGCCCCTCTTCCCAACCAACTATATGTAATTTGACCCTGATCACACATGGCCTCCTGGATTTGGGGAGGGCTAAAGTATACAATCTGGGCAAGGCTAGGAAGAGAAGGCATGACCCATGCTGGGTAAAGGCTTTCCAGTGTGCATACCCTCAGGTCATACATATACCTCAGCAAACCCTGAGTTATCTGGTAAAGTAAGCTCAATAAATTCATTGGTTCTCCAGTAAAACTTTAATCAAACATTGGCTTGACACTAGAACTTTAAAAGGGAATAAGCATTGCTTAGAATCCCCAGGAAAAGAAGTTTTACAACCAATGGAAAATTTGTTAATGCTATTATGTCTCATAATTATTTAAAAACAAGAAAATGAGAATGTAAAAGATGTTTAAAGGATATGGGAAATGAAGATATTTTCCAAAATAGAAAAAATGAGAACTTCTCAGCAAGTGATGAAGGTCTGTTTAGGTTTATTATGATACATAAAGGATAAAATAAAAATAATATACACATAATCTTAAAATTTATATGGTCATAGTTTAGTCAACTAGTTTAAGGAACAAAATATATATCTAGTCAAGGTTTGTTGGAGAATATTTGTTTTTTTAGCCAAGCCTTATATACATAGAAACATGATAATTAAAAGTACCAGACTGGTGGAACTAACCTTATTAGATGTTTAACAGCCATAGTTTGAAGCCTATATTAAAGTGGTCAGAGGGTCTTAACGGACAGTTTTTGACCCTTGCCCTCCAAGATCAACTAAGTTCCAGAGGACTATCGAACATCTCTCAAAATATCCTGTAACTGTGGTGAGTCCCCTGTCCTCTTCTTCAGGGAGAACATGGAGACCCCACGGGATGAACTTGAACCAGTGTCCAGTCTACAAAGAGGAGGGACAATGCAGAGGAAACATCTCATTCATGCTTCCAAGTGAAGCCAGACATTGTCTAGTAGGACCTTTGACTTATTTTCACATAGATGCGACTGGTAAAAGAAAGGAGCCAGGAGCTCCTCCCAAGTCCATGTGACCCCTGAGGAACAGATCCTCAAATAACCTTAAGTTTAAAAATAAATTGATTTATTTGGGCCAACTGTATGGTCTTAAACACCCAAAAGGAAAGCATAACCAAACAGTAAAGTCATCAGTATATTTTCTTTAAAATTTCAAGGGATTACACTTCCCAGACATTAGGCTTAAGTCT